ATTGAAACCATATTAACTTAATTTCTTATTTGTATTTCACTTATAACTTTTGATTTTGGGTAATGGATCATATTATTATGGGGGTCATAATGACCATGCATTTGATGATCATTAGCAATAACCTAAACTCAAAAAGATTGCTTGTGTGGTTCTAGCTAGCTAGTAGAACCATAGTTAGGGATTCCATACATGCATGACGAATATTCATCCAGTGGAAGAAACGTTCATTATGGAATTTGAACCTCTGGTATTCAGATTGAAAATCAGACCAAACGTCTCACGCACTATTAACTTTAGTTGTAATGCTTTCTTGATAGGTTGGTGGTTCAGAGTGTCATAAGATTTTGAACAAAAACAGTACTACTTTGTTACCGAAAGGGTCTATTTAGAGAGTAAATTTCGAGTAGGTTATTGAGTCCTATATTATGAATTTTCGATGGTTAGTCAATTTCTTAGAGGAAAGAAAAGCTATCTCTATTGTTGATTGAAGTACTTTGGTTCGTGTTTCGCATGCTCTTGGGATACTCAATATTTATCTAGATTTTAGCTAAGCAATCCCCCATTTTCTATTTTTAATTTTTTTATACAAATTACCTAGTGTTAAATCACTTAAAGTGAAGTAGAGTTTGGTGTTTATCATAATATCCTCTTCTTCTTCTGTTTCACGCATATTTCAAAGTCCTACCAGTTTGTAGGTGCATTACTTTTGACTCTAATAAGATTTATCTACTCATAAAAAATTTCATGTAAGGTACAATTACGTTTGCATATTTGATCCAGAGGATATCAACAAATCCATCGTTACACGTCCTAACTAGTTGCATTAACATAATTTGTAAAAGAACACTCTTATCAGTCTAATGATAAAAAAACATATACGAAATGTGATTCGACAATATTTTGAAGCATGATCATCCCAACATCGAATGATGAACCAAATTGTCCGAGTATTAACAATAAGATAGAAAGATTTAATCCAAATGTTAAGCAACCAAACGCCATAGAAGGACAGAGAGAAAGAAAACAATACTTTATTATTATTGTAATAAAAAGGTTTGGAAGGGGGAAGAAAATATGTCAGGAGTCCAAGACCAAGAAGCAGCTTCTTTTTTCTTCTTGAATTTATAATCTCTCTCTCTCTCTCTCTTTCCTTCTCTGCTGCTGTGTTGTCTTCTTGGGCTCTCCTTTCGTAGCAATGATTCCATAGCTGCTCCCTCCTTCCCCTGAACTCTCTCTTTCAACACAATCTTTTTTTTTTAAACAAAAATCCCTCTCTCCTCCTCTCTTCATTTCTCAACAGAAACAAAACAAATAATAAAGCTGCGCGTTTAGCCCAGATCCCAATATATACTCTCTCTCTCTCTCTCTCTCTAGCCTTCTTAATCAGGCTCCTCAAAGAAAAAAAAATGCAAGAGCCGAGCTTGGGAATGATGGGCGGAGGTGCGGAATTGTGCGTCGGCGGCGGAGGAGGGGAGCAGAGCAACCGGCAGCTGAAGGCGGAGATAGCGACACACCCGCTGTACGAGCAGCTACTGTCGGCACACGTGGCGTGCCTGCGAGTGGCCACCCCAATCGACCAGCTCCCGCTCATCGACGCCCAGCTCTCCCACGCCTCCGACCTCCTCCGCTCCTACGCCGCCGCCGCCGCCGGTGCCCTTTCCCCTCACGACAGGCAGGACCTCGACAACTTCTTGGTACTTAATTAATTAATTCTCGTCCTTCTTCTTTAATTTCCCCAGCACCCTTCTTAATTGTGTTAACAGCTAATTAATTAACGGAACGGATTTTGACGAGAACGTACAGGCGCAGTATTTGATAGTGTTGTGTGGGTTCAAAGACCAGCTGCAGCAGCACGTCCGAGTTCACGCCGTCGAGGCCGTCATGGCCTGCCGTGAAATCGAAACCTCCTTCCACTCTCTCACCGGTAAACTAACTAACTAACACTACTCTTCTTAATTACGGATTCTCAATTAAAAGGATGCGCTAAACCCTTGCTAGCTAGCTAGCTATCTATTTCTATCCTACGGTTTAAACTGAATCGGTCTATTTCGCTGATCCGAGGTTAATTCGTGGTATTATTGGATCGTTCTTTGATGTGCTCTCATTCGTTATATTGAGATGGTATTTTTGTAAAAATAAAAAAAATGTTATACGAAGCTATTTTATAAGCGGGAATGTCTGTAGTTCGTCGTATGTATCGATTGCAACCTGCTTCCACTGAAAGAGTATAGAGCGATCCGTAAATACGTTTTATCACACTTTGTATCAATCAACATGCTTGTTAGTGCTAATCATAAGATTTTTTTTCTAGAGATTTGTAATTTTTTTAAGGGAATTAAAATGTGTGGTTACTAGGTGGTGGAAGATATGGAAAATGTAGGACCCAAGCTGGCCAATAGGAAACAAAGCTGAATTTGGTGTATAAAGTAGTTAGAGCCGTGTTTTTTAGGTTAGTCATAATCGGTGACAAATGACTAATGGCCTCCAGAATGAGATGTATCTTCTTCCTCCTTTCCATCTTTCTTTCTCTATAGGTAGCTAGGCTCTCTCACATCTTGCTAGCAACCGCCGCCGACCATTGTCGCAACCACCGGTAACGGTGGTTAGCGTCTCAACCACCGATTAGGTCGGGGGCAATTGGCTCCATTTGTATAATTATTGGTGGGATGACGTTATTTTGATTTAATTCTTTTGGGGTAGAGTAGAGTAGTATGTTGCTTGCTTCTCTCTATTAGGTGGACCTTCAACTCTACACACAAACCACACATATATTAGTCATCTTCTAACTAATATAATTAGCTTCCCTTTTCACAACTAATTGTTATTGATTAATGTGTCTTACATATATAATACTCATTCTCAATAATATATATTTAGGTCATGGATTATTGGGGGTGGAACCCATCACCTTATCTTATAAATTAGTCTAGTTTGATTAATAATCAAAATATGGTGTGTTATTAACAATAATGTATATCGCTAAAAACGAAGATAGAAAATCATCGCTTTTTGCTTCATTTTTTGTAATTCTTTATCGAAACGTTTGGTGTAAGAATCTCGGTAACCAATAACACTGGTTGTTAAGCGAACAATGATTTGGTCTAGCGATGTCATCACTAGTTTTGAATTTGGATTATTTACAGGTTCGAATCCCTTAAATATCACATAACTATAAAACACCCTTATCCAACATTAACAGTAACATTAGTTGTTATTTCATGTAGATCGATGTGTACCTGAGCGTGCTACAATCTTCGCTAGATCAGTGACAAAAAATCTAAATTTTGACGCGGAAAGATATGTATAGAAAACAATGTAGATTCACAAGTACATTGCAACATTTTTAATAGAAAAAAATATCCAGTTACATGATTACAGGAATAACAACTCGAGTCATATCACAATACAATAATTTTGTTTGTGGAGTGCATGCATAGATACACACCAAAACTATTACTTGTTTTCCCTTTCATTAATCACCAATTAAGCTGATGACTGCCAAATTGCCATAACCTCTAGTACCAAGTCATATGTAGTTGTAGGGTAGAAACCCTTAATCCTGGTCGATGTAGTTAGGGTGGTGATAATATAATGGTTGCCTTTAATTAAACACGAAAACAAAAGAGGTTGCCTGCTTTCGGTGGCCTCATTAATGGAGAGCTCTAATACAATACAATAATGGTTGGGAGTGAAAGAAGTTGTTGGTTTTTGTCTCCACTTGTTGCCTGTTGCTGTCGCCCTAATCCACACGTACTTTAGACCCCATTTTGTCGTCTTCTCTGAAAGCCTATCCTAATCCTACACAGATTCACCTATATATATTTTCAATCATTGCTGTAATTAATACAAAATTCTAGACCTATATATATATTTTGCAATAATGGGCACTGTTAGTGTTAAACCTTGTGCATGGTTACGTTGTTTTGTGCAGGAGTGAGCCTAGGAGAAGGAACTGGGGCGACAATGTCGGACGACGAGGACGACCTACAGATGGATTTCTCACTCGACCAACCTGGCGGCGGCGGAGGAATGATGGGGAGTAGTAGCAGCAGCGCCGCCGATGCGCATGACATGATGATGGGGTTCGGCCCTCTCCTTCCGACGGAGTCGGAGAGGTCGCTGATGGAGAGGGTTCGTCAGGAGCTGAAGATCGAGCTGAAGCAAGGTTTCAAGTCGAGAATCGAGGATGTGAGGGAAGAGATCCTGAGGAAGAGGAGAGCTGGCAAGTTGCCCGGAGACACCACCACCGTCCTCAAGAACTGGTGGCAGCAACACTCCAAGTGGCCTTACCCAACCGTAAGTTGCAGATAATATAGCAACGGCCTTAAACTTCGACGTATATCAATATGATGTAATGGAGGGTTTGGTGTACGTTATGGTTGTGTGGTGCAGGAAGATGACAAGGCAAAGCTGGTGGAGGAGACTGGGCTGCAGCTGAAGCAGATAAACAACTGGTTCATCAACCAGAGGAAGAGAAACTGGCACAGCACCTCTCAGTCTGTCACCTCCCTCAAGTCCAAGCGGAAGAGGTAGAGAGATCGACCAAAAACATATATATACATATCTCGATCAAATCATGATCAGCCAACTGAAGAGCTCAAACTATATAAATAGACGGTGTTTCTATGAATGTATAAATGGAGATATAGAGGGAGTTTCATTAAGATGGAATCGCGAACGTTTTGTTTTACATTAATCACTCGATAGCTAACACATGTTAATGTTGCGAATGTATAAAAGAAACACACTTGTTGATGAGGGATTATATTTGATACATACATTTACTAATTTCTAATTAGTATAGCTGTTTTCTGCTACATTTTACTTTTATTTGGTACATATGGAGAATTTGCTAGGGTAGATTGGCAAAACCCTCAAGTCTGCAGGGCTGCTCTGTTGCAGTATATATATCAGCTGAAGAAATCAGCTTAGTTCAGATTGCCACTTGGCAATCAACAATTGGCCTATTACAAACCAAAGCACTGTTTAATAACGGCTAATAGAACTTAGGTAAAACGACAGAGTTTCAGCAAACAGAAAATTAAGTGACAATGAAACGTCTGCGTATTGATCCTTCTCCTTCTTCACTTCGCTTCAGTCTTCCAATCCTTACAGCATCAGGATTCCAGGTCAGTTCACACCCCCCTTCAAGTTGTGAGTGCTCTTTTTGACTCCCAACTTGTCCAGAAGCTCATTCAGTCGAATCCTGTGCAAACTCTTAGTGAAAATATCAGCAAGTTGATTGATTGTACTCACATGGAATAATTTGATCAAACCAGTCTTCAGTCTCTCTCTTGTAACATGCATATCGATCTCTATGTGCTTGGTCCTTTCATGGAACACAGGGTTCTCAGCAATATGGATTGCAGATTTGTTATCACAGTACACAGCAACAGGAAGAGGTATCTTGACACCCATTTCTCCCAACAGCACCCTTAGCCAGTCAATTTCACAAACCAGTAGAGCTAGTGCTCTATATTCTGCTTCAGAAGATGATCTGGAAACTGTTGTTTGCTTCTTTGTTTTCCAGGTCAGAAGAGAACTCCCAAGGAAAGTGCAGTACCCTGTTGTTGATCTTCTGGTGTCAGGGCAGCTGGCCCAGTCTGAGTCACAGAACCCCACAAGCTTCAAGTCTGCCTTACTGCTGTAGTAGATACCTTGGTCTGGACAGGATTTGAGATATCTTAGTACTCTGTAGGCTGCTTGTAAGTGTTCTGAGTAGGGCTTCTTCTGAAACTGGCATAGCTGTTGTACAGAATATGTCAAGTCAGGTCTTGTTATGGTTATGTAATGAAGCCTCCCAATCAACCTTCTGTATTGTTCTGGATCTTCAAGTAAAGTTCCTTCTGTTGCTGTTAGCTTGATGTTTGGGTTTGATGGTGACTGCCATCCTTTGGCATTTAAGTATCCTGTATCAGCAAGCAAGTCCATACAGTATTTTCTTTGACAGACCATCAACCCTTCTGCTGTCTTGTTTACTTCCAGTCCCAAGAAATACCTTAAAGGTCCAAGCAACTTAATCTTAAATTCCTTACTCAGAGAGCTCTTAACCTGGTCAATGTCCTTCTGAGCATCACCAGCTAGGATAATATCATCCACATAGACAAGTAATACAACAATTCTTCCATGAACCCACTTAGTAAACATGGAATAGTCTGAGGATGATTGATAAAACCCATTTCTCAACAGAAAACCAGTTAACTTGACAAACCATTGCCTTGAGGCCTGTTTAAGACCATATAGTGACTTCTTTAGCTTGCAGGCCATCCTCTTAGGACTTCCAGGTGGTAATTCAATTCCAGTGGGTACCTGCATATACACATCCTCATGTAGATCCCCATTTAGGAAAGCATTGGATACATCCAATTGCTCTGGGGCCCAGTTCTTAACTGCTGCTATGGCTAATAAGGCTTTCACTGAGTTGATTTTGGCCACTGGGGAGAAAGTGTCCAAAAAATCTATCCCATATATTTGTGTGAACCCCTTAGCCACCAACCTTGCTTTGTATCTTTCAATTGTCCCATCCTGTTTCAATTTCAGTTTAAACACCCACTTACAACCAACTATGTGTTTGTCTGGTGGTGCTTCTACTATCTCCCAGGTCTGGTTTGCTTCTAGAGCATGTATTTCCTCTATGACAACTCTATTCCATTCAATGGACTTGACTGCCTCATGATATGAGGTTGGTTCCTCATGCTTCAACACACTCAAAGCATAGATTCTATCCTGTTCATTCAGATATTCAACATTCAGACAGAGAGAGTGCTTACTTGCATTTGCTGCTGTTCCAAAAGCTCCAAATGTCAACTGAGGATCCAGTTCACATTCATTGAGTTTAGCAGGTAATACTGGTTGCCTCTGTGATCTTCTTGGTGGAGGAGGTTCAAAGTCAGCTTGTGGAAGTAGTTCACAATCCTGTTCAGGTGGAACATCAGTATCATTTGCTGGACTAACAGCTTCACTTGGACTATAGTCATCATCCCCCCTTGCAGCTGAGGCCTGATCAAAGGAAACAGGTGCAGAAGAAGTAGGAAGAGAAGATGTTGGGACCAAGATGGGAGGAGCTGATGTTGTAGACTGAACAGGTGGTGAAGTAGAGGAAGAAGGAGGTGAGTCTGATGTTGCAGACTCTGTACAGTCTCGAAAGGGAAGGATTGTTTCATAAAAGACAACATCCCTAGATAAGAAGACCTTCCTATCTTCTAAGTCAAGTAACTTATACCCTTTAACTCCAGCAGGAATTCCAAGAAAGACACACTGTCTTGCCCTTGGTGCAAACTTGGTCCTGTTATGTCCAAGGGTACTGGCATAACACAAGCTACCAAAAACCTTAAGGTTACCAAGGAAAGGTTGATGGTTATATAGCACCTCAAATGGGGATTTGCCAGACAGAATGGGAGTTGGCATCCTGTTGATCAAGTACACTGCATGAAGGATGCAGTCATTCCAAAAGGTAAGTGGTAAACCTGACTGGAACCTAAGAGACCTAGCCACATTCAATATGTGCTGGTGTTTTCGTTCAACCCTGGCATTTTGTTCAGGAGTCTCTACACAGGACATCTGGTGTTCTATCCCTTTCTCCATGAAGAATTCCTTCATATGAAATTCCTGTCCTTGGTCACTTCTAATAGTTTTGACAGTGGTATTGAATTGATTATGAACCAAGGCACAAAAACCCTTGAGCAATTCTCTTGTTTCATGTTTGTGTTTCATCAGGTAAACCCACACTGCCCTTGTATGATCATCTACTATTGTAAGAAAGTAAGAATGACCATCATATGACTGAACAGACAAAGGTCCCCAAATATCAACATGAACCAAGTCAAAAGCATTCTTTGCAATACTGGTACTAATGGGAAAAGGAAGTCTTTTGTGTTTTGAGAAGTGACATACATCACAGTGTAGAATCTTAGAACTAGTTACAGTAGAATTAGATTTCTGCAACATGGAAATTCTATCACTACTAGCATGTCCTAATCTCCAATGCCAAAGATCAAACTGCAAAGGATGGAAATTGAAGGTGGTGGCTGCTTGGTGGTCAGGCTGCTGGTCTTTGTTTGTAGGTGGAAAGGTGAGGTGGTAAAGTCCTCTATGCTCTCTTGCTAAACCAATCATCTTCAAGCTTAACTGGTCCTGAATGTGACAGAGATTGGAGTGAAAATGTAAGACTAATGGACAGTCATTGGTAAGCTTACTTACTGAGATAAGATTGAAAGAGAAGCTAGGGACAAAAAGAACATTATGAAGTATCAAGCCTGTGGGTAGTCTAACTGTACCAATGTGAGTAACCAGAACCCTAGTAGTGTTAGGCAGGTTTACAAAGACATCTTGAACTGGTTTGTGCTCTATAAATAAAGCTAGTGTGCAAGAAATGTGATCTGAGGCACCTGTGTCTAAGATCCAAAGGTTTGAAGCATTGGTTTGGTTAAACTGACTTGAGGTAGACAGGCTGTATTTACCTGAATAAGTGGGATAGGGTGGTGGAATTTGAGTTACTGAGTAGGCATGATGAGGTAAAGATGATGAGGTTGGAGGTGAAGGAAAGCTACCAGTACCAGATTGCATCATGCTTCTTAGCTTGTTCATCTCTTCTGGTGTAAAACCAACCACTGTCTTAGAAGAAATTACTGGGCTACCTCCTGGAGTATCAGCTGAACTAGAGTAGCTCACTTCTGTAGTGGAGTCACTGGAACCTCCTTGTGACACTGATCCCACAAAGCTGGAAGCATTGCCCTGTGATCCTCCTGTTCCTCCTCCATTCTGCATTTCTCTCTTCTTCTTAGCCCTCCAGCATTGTTCAACATTGTGGTTTGTTCTCTTACAGTAGATACAGAACTTCTTTCCTTGTCCTCTTGGTTTTTCATCTTCCTCAGCCTCAACAACTAGAGCCACACTTTGAGCCCTTCTTCCACCATGAGATTCTGCTCTCAATTTCTGCTCATACTGGAGTAGATCATCTACTGCTTCAGATACAGTAGGCAATGGTTTACGAGAAAGTAATTGACTCTTAACAATCTCATAATCTGGATGTAAGCCCCTGAGAAACCTGATAAGATAATCAGTTTCCTACCTTTCAGTGTAGGCCACAACAGCATCACATGGATTTATGTTTCCAGGTGCACAGTTACATGGCACTATGGGACTGAATTGTGCCAGTTCCTCCCAGATTCCCTTGATCTCATTGTGGTACTGATTGATGTTGCGATTCCCTTGCTTGCACTTATGGATGTCATCTTCCAGATTAGTAATTCGTATGGCATTAGGTTTCCCATACCTTCTTTTCAACTCATCCCACAGTACCTTAGCACTAACATGGTTCATCACAGAACGTCTGAGATCTTTATGAAGAGAATTTAAAATCCATGATAACACAGTTGTGTTACATCCATCCCATAACAGAAAAGTATCATCAGTCACTGGAGGCATCGGTATGCTTCCATCAGGGTTGTCACGCGGGCCGGCGTGCCACCGGTTGTACCTGGTTCAACCTGTACCGGTCATAAAACCGGCGTGACACCACCGGTATGACTGGCATGATCGATATACGAATCTCTAAGTAAAATAACTTTATTTTAGTGACTTTAATTGTTAAAAATTATTTTATTATTTATTTTATGAGTATAAATGTTAAATATTGATGTTATTTGTTGGATTCAAGTATAAATGTTTAGGTATTGACGTTAAAGGTCATGTTTAAAATGAGTATTTATAATTTTATTTGTAATATTGACCGGCATGAACCGGCACAAACCGGTATGTGCCACCGGTCGAACCATTTCACTTGCTAAACCGGCACACTGGCATAAACCGGTTTGACAACCTTGGCTTCCATCGATGAAACCCACTTTGTGTTTCATCTTCAAACCCATTATCACATATCTACTCCACATGATATAATTTGTCCCATCAAACACTTCTGAACCTATAGATTGGTTCAATGCTTCATTAGGGTTCAAGTAGAATGGGTTACCGAAGGTTATCACCTCAGATCTGGTGGTGTTTTGTTGTTGTTGCTCCTGCTGCTGCTGATCAGTGTAGGTACCAAACTGGAAACCTCGAACAGTGGAACCAGTTGCGCCTGAGAGTGGTGATCCGCTTGCAGCTTCCTTCCCATGGTTCGTCGGCTGCGGTGTGGTAGACATTGTAACCCTAGATGCGTTTCCGCTCTGATACCATATGGAGAATTTGCTAGGGTAGATTGGCAAAACCCTCAAGTCTGCAGGGCTGCTCTGTTGCAGTATATATATCAGCTGAAGAAATCAGCTTAGTTCAGATTGCCACTTGGCAATCAACAATTGGCCTATTACAAACCAAAGCAATGTTTAATAACGGCTAATAGAACTTAGGTAAAACGACAGAGTTTCAGCAAACAGAAAATTAAGTGACAATGAAACGTCTGCGTATTGATCCTTCTTCGCTTCAGTCTTCCAATCCTTACAGCATCAGGATTCCAGGTCAGTTCACAGTACATCTGATCTGACATTAAAAGAAACAGTAGTGTGGGAATCAACACTCAAAATGTTAACATGTATGTTGCCTTCCCATCCACACTCCAATTTGGGTTAATACCACAGAAAATTTTTGAAGGAGAGGAAAAGCCCACAACTGGCTGCCTTGTGTTCAATTGGGTCCAGCTTGTGCAAGTTTTACTTTAGCATAGCCTTTCACTATAATGGCGGGCCGGGAAAGGCCCAATAGGCGAAATGAGCCTATTGGCCCAACATATAAATGGGATTACAGGCTGGTTCTCTTTAGTCGTTGGGCGTAGTCGACCATGTCACAGCCCAAAGGCAATTAACATGGTTCGTTACCAAAGAATTGGAGCTCATTGGACAAGAGTAAAGGCAAGCATAAGAGGAAGGTATAGGCCAAGTTTTGTGTGTGTGTGTGGTTGTCATAGATCCCAAAAGAGAAAAGTAGATACATCATACAAAAATAAAGCGATTTTAGATAAAAAGAAAAAGAGGTACTGATCGACTAGCCATTGAATCAACGATAAGAGAGTTGTTCATATTGTAACAAGTATTTTTTTTCTGTCATTTTTCACGGAAAGAAATTATATTAGTTTGGGTTCAATTTCACACTTTATTTACCTGCCATTTTCCCGTCAACTAAACAATTCCCTGATTGTTATGAAAATAATTAATTTAAGAAAGGGTCCCCAATAGACATACACCACCTTGCAAGTTGGACGTCAAAAGTTCAACCACCTCTCAAATGTCTCAAGACCATCTAGAAGGTAGTCATAGTGTCTTCCACCACCATTTTTTTTTTGTCATTGGTGAAATTTTATCTAAAGCTAGACATAGAGGTGTATAAAACCAGTGGCTTACTTCGATCCAATCACGAAGGAAAAGATCGGCTACCTGCGTTCTGAACGACCTCCGAAGAAGACTCTGAGTGAGATCAAAGCAGAACTTGGTGGTCAACCAACTGCTCAAAAGGTACGTTGCCACCCTTAAGCAGCTCCATAGATAAAATAAAATGAAAACTAGGTTCTCTAATCACTCCTACTTGACAAAAAAATATTACAGATCCTTTATCGTTGCAAATTTACTATCCCTCAAGTTTGGTATGGAAGGAGCATTTGCAGGACCACCCAGCAAAGGCCAGAGTAAGTTCCACCACATCTGCACAAGCCTTGACTATGACTTAGAAAACATTTACAACATAACTAACACATTTGTTCTAATTGTAAGACCCCACTATGAAATTCAAGCAATGTTACGTGACGGTTCAGGCGAAGTGGAGGTCATAATGGATCATGAGGCAGCTCTGTCAATCATTTGTATATCAACTGGAAGATATCGCAAGCTGGAGAAGGAAACAATCAAAACAATTATTGGCAAAAATTGTGCGAAGGCGTTTGCATGAGAATTATACATTGGGTGGCCAAATATGAACTCCACAGATCCTCCAGCTCGCATACAAATAAGAGTAGCAACATTGTGGAACACCTCGGCCTTTGACAAGTGATGATCAGTTTCCTTGGAAATTATTGTAAAAAAAACTATCAGGCACAACATCCCCATCTACCTGCACTTACTCTCTCAGAGACAATTTCAAACAGTTTAGGACCTAATGTACTTCTGTATATTTACCTCTATGCTTCTCAGAAACTAAAGTTTTTATTCCCTATTTTCAATGAAGACAAAAATATGGCAGATGTATATGTGTGGTGTGCACAAAGTTTGTTAATATGTTTGTTAATTTCTGCGCTCTCTGGCGCAATGAACCTCAACTATTTGCGAATGGTATAGCAGAAAGAACATGACAAAATCCACAAAACAACTGGAGTCAGACTTACCCCGCCGCGGAGCGCGGGCCAAGTACTAGTTTTATCTAAAGCTAGACATAGAGGTGTATAAAACCAATTTGTAAAAAAAGAAAAAAAAAGTGTATAAACCAATCGAGTTATAAAACTTGTATCACTAACTTATAAATTGTTTGACCTGAAAGGTTTGTTTTTATTATAGGTACTACTTAAAACATTCGAATTTAAAACTTTCAGGTTGAAAATCAGTCATAGTACCACCAGACAAAATCCTAATTTGCTCAACATTTTAGGTTTTGAATCAAAACAATAGATCACTATAGATTATTGGTTTAGATCGGTTGGTCAATGTTAGAAATTTTGATAAATGATTCCCAGAAAGCTTATCAACAACCCTCCATGTTCTTAATTAACTCCATGGCTGCGCCACCTCCATCGCTCCCTCCTGATCTCGTCAAACCCTCCAATAGATATCACTTTTTGTTTTATGAATTAATTAGAGTTAGAACCCCTGCAGATCACAAACACATTGAATTTTCCCGGAACCAAACACGCCGATCAATTCAGAAGTCTCCTTTGACTCCATGGACCTGAAAGCTCAACTCCATTCTTCCTTCCCATTGGCTCTCCATCCCTTCTTTTTAATAAAAAAACATCTCTCCCTCTAACGACCGTTACTGTCTTCATCTACACTGCAATCTTCCGTTTCTCTCGCCTACCATCTCACACCCTTTAATAAAAAAAAACCCATCCCTTTCTTCCTCTCTGCCTTCTTCTCCTCCTTGTTCCATCATCTAGCTCAACGACTTCTTGATTACTCCAAGAATCCCCTGTTTCCATCCCACCTCTACTCCTCCAGAAAACCCCCTTCCTAATAATTCCACATTGTGAACGCTCCCCTGTTTCCCCCTTCGGAAATCCTTATTCTCCTTTCCGCGTGTACTCCTTCAGTTTCTCCGCCCTCCTCCGGCGATTCCCTTCTAACAAACTCTGTTTCCTTCCTCCCGTAAACTGATCCTGCCGGCAATTCCCTTCACTATAAACCTTCTGGGTAATCAAGCAATCAATCATCTGCCCTCAGGGATTCCGAAAGTTTCAATCTTTTCCATTACCCACTTCGAATTCAGTTCAACTGAGTTGACCATCACCGGAAGAAAAAAAAAAATGGCGAACAGCGTCATCCCTCACGCCAGCTCTTTCGGCGGCTCAGTTCACGGTGGGCAGCAAGTAGTCCCGTTCAAGACCAGTAAAGGCAACCTCAAAGTCCTTCTCTTGCACGGGAATCTCGACATCTGGGTCAAACAAGGCAACAACCTCCCCAATTTGGACATGTTCCACAAAACCTTGGGCGATATGTTCTCAATCCTCCCTCTGAAAGCTCAATCCGCCGCCACCAAGATCACCAGCGACCCATACGTCACCGTTTCCATCTCCGGCGCCGTGATCGCCAGAACATTCGTCATCGACAACAGCGAGAACCCCGTGTGGATGCAGCACTTCAGCGTCCCCGTCGCACATTCCGCCTCAGAGGTCCACTTCGTGGTCAAGGACAACGATGTCGTTGGGTCGCAGGTTAGACCGAATCAATACATTCAAAAGTTCATACAGAATATCCTTTGATAACGATGATAGTAACTAGTATAAGTAAATAATTACCTATCCCTGATTCAGGTCATGGGAGCTGTAGGAATTCCTGTCGAGGAGCTCTGGAACAGGAATGTCATCGAAGGTTCTTACCCGATTCTCGGGGCGAACGGGAAGCCCTGCAAGGAAGGGGCGACATTGACATTGTCGATCCAATTCATACCCATTGAGCAAATGGAAATGTACAATTTCGGGGTGAGGTCTCGGCCCGATTACGAGGGTGTCCCGGGGACTTATTTCCCGATGAGAAAGGGCGGGAAGGTGAATCTGTATCAGGATGCTCATGTGGATGAAGGCGGTTGCTTGCCAGAATTGAGAGTTGGAGATGGTGGGAGAGTTCAATATGAGCACAGGAGCTGTTGGGAGGATGTGTTTCAGGCCATTAGTCAGGCCAGGCGGTTGGTTTATATAACCGGTTGGTCCGTGTATCATAAGGTAAGGTTGGTTAGGAAGGGCAGAGGTGAGATGGACTGTACATTGGGAGAGCTTCTCAAGACTAAGTCTCAGGAAGGTGTCAGGGTTTTGCTCCTTGTTTGGGATGATCCTACTTCCAGAAGCATCTTGGGCTACAAAACGGTAAGAACAGAACCCGGTTGTGCCAACAATTGAATCGAATGGTCTATTGTCAATGATCTAACATTGTTTGTTTGTAGGAAGGAGTAATGAACACTGGAGATGAAGAAACTCGACGATTCTTCAAGCATTCCTCGGTCCAAGTTCTGCTTTGTCCGAGGTCTGCAGGGAAAGGACACAGTTTCATCAAGAAACAGGTTTCTGATTTGAACTCTTTCATTTGTGATCAAGACAAAATTAGAGCTGGACATTAAGTAGCCCGTTCTGAATGTTGGATTCTTGTGAGTTTTAGGAAGTTGGGACGATCTACACTCACCATCAGAAGACAGTGATCATAGATGCAGATGCAGGGCAAAACAGAAGGAAGATTGTAGCTTTCGTTGGAGGTCTGGATTTATGCAATGGACGGTATGATACTCAGGACCACTCCCTTTTCAGGACTAGCCAAACGGTTCACAAAGATGACTTCCACAACCCTACTTTCCTGGTAAATTTTGGGTTTTAGGGGGCTTAGGAGGAACTGAGTTGAGGCTTAAAGTAACGTTTGTGCTTGGTTTTTAATTGTTTACCAGGAGCCTGCTGGCTGTCCGAGGGAGCCGTGGCATGATCTGCACAGCAAGATCGATGGTCCGGCGGCTTACGATGTCCTGACCAACTTCGAGGAGCGATGGTTGAAAGCCTCCAAGCCCCGGGGAATCCAGAAACTGAAACATTCGGCTGATGATGCGTTGTTGAAGCTCCAGAGGATTCCTGAGATCCTGGGGATTTCTGATGTTACTTGCTTGACTGAGAATGATCCTGAGACCTGGAATGTTCAGGTTAGTACATTATGATAACTGTGAAGTGTTGGTCAGGTTTTCAGATTCTCCCTCTTTTCGCTGGCTGATTCTTTCTTTTTCCTTCCACCTGAAAATTGTGAAGGTATTCCGCTCAATTGATTCCACTTCAGTGAAAGGCTTCCCTGATGAACCAAGAGATGCAACTAGCAAAGTAAGTCCTTTCAACTCATTTCTTATACATTAGTTGGTCAGAATTAAGGGAAAAGTAACAAATCAAAGTTGAGTGATCCATTCAGTTCAATGCTCATCTATGTAACGAAAACTAAACCTCTTCTTTAACCATCTCTTCTCTTCACTTCCACCACTAACAATCCAAATTGGGTAAAACTTGTGAAAAACCCCAGAATCTGCTATGTGGGAAGAACATCCTGATAGACATGAGCATCCACGCGGCCTACGTCAAGGCGATTCGAGCCGCACAGAACTTCATCTACATCGAAAACCAGTACTTCCTGGGTTCATCCTACGGTTGGGACTCCTACAGAGACTTGGGAGCCAACAACCTGATCCCAATGGAGATCGCCCTGAAGATCGCCAGCAAGATTCGAGCCAACGAGCGATTCGCAGCCTACATCCTAGTCCCAATGTGGCCCGAAGGCGTCCCCACGAGCACCCCGACGCAGCGAATCCTGTTCTGGCAGCAGAAGACTATGCAGATGATGTACGAGACCATCTACAAAGCCCTGGTGGAAGTTGGACTTGATACCAAGTACGAGCCCCAGGATTACCTCAACTTCTTCTGCCTCGGTAACCGCGAGGCGGCCGACGGAGAATCTGCTTCAAATACTCAGATTGCTCCTCCTTCGAAATCCAATGGTGCTGCAGCAAACACTCCTCAGGTAATGTGTCCAGCTTCCTGCCTAAACAGTATGGACTAAGATGTAAACTTTCATAACTGGAGGTAACAAATTGAAATTTTACATGGGGTTTCTCCAGGCGCTCAGCCAGAAGAGCAGGCGATTCATGATCTACATCCACTCCAAAGGAATGATCGTCGACGACGAATACGTCATCATCGGATCGGCGAACATCAATCAGAGGTCCCTGGAAGGGACACGTGACACCGAGATCGCGATGGGAGCTTACCAGCCACGTCACACCCTGACGGGCCGGAGCCGGCCGCGCGGCCAGATCTACGGGTACCGGAAGTCGCTGTGGGCGGAGCACGTCGGCGGGGGGCTGGAGGAATGCTTCGAGAGGCCGGAGAGCGTGGAGTGCGTGAGGCGGGTGAGGGCGATCGGAGAGCAGAACTGGCGGCAGTTTGCGGCGGAGACGGTGACGGAGATGAAGGGTCACCTGCTGAAGTACCCAGTGGAAGTGGACCCCACCGGTAAAGTGCGGGCCCTACCTGGGTGCGCTGCTTTCCCGGACGTCGGTGGGAATATTTTGGGATCCTTTATTGCGATTCAGGAAAATCTCACAATCTGATTGATTGCGCGGACTGAAATATTAAAATTGGAAACATCGTGGTTCAGAAAGGTAATAGGGATATTTTACTTGTGCATACCAAAAACGAACGACCTCATACCCAGATACAGATAGTGAGTTTTCCTTTCTTTTTTAGTGAATAAATGAAATTAGTGAGCTTTTCTTCTCTTTTATTAATTTGTTGTAACATTTTCTTTTGTTATTATTTTCTTTTCCATATACTGCATCATTAGAAATAAAAATAGTGGTGGATCAGGAAAATGAAATGGTCGATTGGTTGGCAATTAACTTATCAGGTTTGGAACATGATTATACTACTAGAAAGATTGAATACTAAACAATGACTTTGCTACAACTTAACTTGAGTTAATAGCAACATAAACCTCTATAAATAACAATTTATGTTATTAGTTTATCATCTTAAAAAATTATATAAACAAATTCTTGTGACTTTTGAGTTTGGTGAAGAAAAAAGATGTTAACATCAAAGATAGTCGTTGGTAAACCATGTGTAGATCAACAAGCCGACCACGCCGTTTTTTTTTTTTTGTCAAAAGATATCATATATTAGTCCAATCAAAAAGATAATTACATCCTGGATAGCAGCCAGGCCCTGAAATCAAAGAAACGAATTACAGTCGGGTACAAAGAGAGGGCTTTTCTAACTACTGAATGAGCTACCTTATTGTTCTCCCGACCTACAAACCGCAAACTAAACCCCAGATGGGCACCAAAATACTGACAAATCTCTTTCAGGACTGCCCCCAAGGACCACGCCGACTATTCGATCTTCAACCACGGGAGTTAATTGTCTTTAGACCAATCTTGATGTCATTGACTTGAGGTATGCAAATACCTTTACCCTAGCCGGTTGACCTTTGCATAGTGTGGTCGGCCGGTTTATTTCTGGACATCGACATATTCATCATATGATCAATCACAACAAATAAGCGGTCAACCGTTCTTTTCATTTATTATAATTAAGTTATTGAGTTTGATTATAAATGTACATTCGATCAATCATTTTGTGATATAGTCAATTGTTTTGCTAAAATTTTTAGGGATCGTTTGGTTTTGGGGATAGTTAAATTGATGGATTGTCATAATAATATACATGTATTGTAACTTGTTGGGCATGTGACTCGGATTCCGCCGCGCTAAAGAAATACCGATACCAAGAGACGGGCGCACCGACAGCGGCGCGAACAAGAGCATAGGCGAGCGCGAATACCTAGGGACGGGCGCTTCAGTGCCAGCGCGCCCAAGGGGAGCGCGAGCCCAGCAACGACTAAAGCGACGTGAATAAGAAGCGGCGTCGTATCCCACCTATCGGGTAGTCACATCATGGTCTTAGTGGTCACATCATGGTCCTAGGTATAATGAAAGGCTAAGTGTACTTGTCCTAGGTAGCGATATGGCCTAATCCTCTGACATGTCAGTAGTCATGTCACTATGACAGGTCACCATGTAACTCATCCACCACCATGTAGCCTATAAATAAGGCATTAACTCCGGTGGGTGAGGGGATCGGATTTTTCGGACTCTATCTCTAAAATCATCAACTTCTCTCTCTAAGATCATTTCTCTCTCAACTCCCTTCGTAATCCCCCTGAATCTCTCCAGAAACGACTATTTTCCTCATTGCTTACTCTCCTTGACCCATTTTCCCGAGTCTCCCTCCTACACCCAGTTAGGCTCAAACAATTGGCGCCCACCGTGGGGCCAAGTAGAGAAGCAAAGAAAATCGACCTATGGCAGAGCATAACTCCAACTCACCCGACGAATCAACCCCCATCAAAGCGATGACCAACCCAAGGGAATTCGCGGAAGCTAGCAATCTCAACGCGGTGCTCTTAGAAGAGGAAGAGCCCGAGCTCACAGCCAAGGAAATGAGACAGCTGATGGCGAAGCAAAACGACGTCATAGCTAACATGCAGAAACAAATGAGCCAGGTCATGGCGCTCATGATGAGCAAAGGGGGCGCGGCAACGGCGGGCGCGACACCATCTGCGCCCCAACAAGTTCCAGGAGAAGCGTCGGGGACTGCCCCACCACCGCACCCCACGCAAGAAGCGCAACAAGCCGAGCTCACGGTATGCGCGACACCAGTCGCGACCCAACAAGCCCCAGGAGAAACGTCGGGGACGGTCCCACCACCGCACCCCACATATGAAACACAACAAGCTGAGCTACCAGGCAGGGCGGACCTCAGTTTTCTGGAGCAACACCTGTCCCCGCAGTACCGACTCAATCCGCCCAAGAGGGCGCTCCACCAGCCGCTAAGCGCAGAAATCATGCCACCCGCCCTCCCAACATACAACGGGACAACTGATCCCGAAGACCACGTGAGCACCTTCTGCCTGCGGATGCAGCTCCAAACCAACTCCAACGCGGCGCTATGCCGAACCTTCCCATCAACATTTTTCGGGATATGCCTAGATTGGTATAACAGGCTCCCAAACGGGATCATCTGCTCGTTTGAGGAGTTCATACTCCTATTCACGACAAAGTTTGCATCCCAAAAAAGAAGGCCCCTCCACCTCAAGGCGCTGGTAGACCTCAGGCAAAAAGACGGGGAGAGCCTACGATCATTTTACGCCAGATGGTCCAGGGTGGCGATGGCAGTGCGCGACCTTACTCCCGAAATCGCCGCCCATCACCTTATGGAAGCCACAACCAACATGGAACTCAAGCGGGCGGTAGCAAAAAGGCCCGTAACTCTATCAACGGAATTGGAGATGAAGATTGAGAAGGCAATTATGCTGGAAGAAACCCTCGGAGCGGGATCTGTTAGACGCTTCGAGCCAGCCAAATTGCCACGAGAAGAGCAGGGACGTCGGCAGCTCACGCTGCCACGAGATAAGCTAGCGCAGCTATACAGCGGGCAAAAGCGCCATCCCCCTCCACCACAAGAGCAAGCCCAGCGAGGAAGATCGCCAGACAGGCGCGCGCCCCACACTTTTACCCCGCTCAACGACTCCGTGAAGAACGTGTTCCACGTCCTACGCGAGAAGGGATACAGGCTAAATTGGCCCGCGCCTCTGAAGTCCTTGCCCCACATGCGGGACCCAAAAAAGCATTGCGACTTCCATAGAGCAACGGGGCACTGGATAGAAGATTGCCGAGAGCTGCGCTACGAAATAGAAGGCCTCATACGACGAGGACTGCTGACCGAGTTCACACAGGAGAAAGAGGAACAAGTTGGGGGGCCCCAAAACCCGCCACCACCCCCACAAGCCGACTACAACGAAACCACTGCAACATATGTAGTGCGAAAAGTAATAGGGGTGGTGACGGTGGAAGGAGATCGCCCGAAAAAGAAAACAAAGCACGAACGAGCGATCGAATTCGCAGCAGCGGATGTACAAACAGGGGGGTCAACTAAGCTTCGACGACACCGAATTACCGCAAGGAATTCCGTCCGAAGACCCGCTCATCATCACCGCCCTAGTGGCCGCCTGCAAGATTCACCGCCTACTAATAGACGGGGGTGCCGCGGCAGACATCCTCTTCCAAAGAACCATCGACAAAATGGACATCGACCCGCGCTTAATCAAGCGCGCCCAAGGAAATCTGGTCGGCTTCTCTGGAGCGAGGGTTCCAGTAATCGGGGTGGTCACTCTCCCTGTTGTTATCGGTGACCAAGAGCCGCGCGTCTCAAAGCAAGTCGAGTTCACAATAGTCGACTGCAAATCATCCCACAACGCATCTTGGGCCGGCCCTTCCTAGCAAAATTCATGGCCCTTTCTTCCACATGCCACCAGAAGCTTAAGTTCCCTACCAAGATGGGAACCGGAGAGACGCGCGGGACCCCATGGGGAGCCATGAAGCTAGAAGGAGAGCCCCGGCAAACCAACATTGTCGACACAAGGCCAGAGGAGCCCCGTCCGGAATCAATGGATTCCGATTTCGAGGTCGCGCTCGACCCAAATGAGCCGACTAGGAAAATACGCATCTCGACTCACGTCCGCGACGACGCGATCGAGCCGCTGATAGCGCTATTGAAGGAGTACAAGGAGCTGTTCGCCTGGTGCACAGAAGACATGCCGGGGGTACCAAGGCATGTAGCCCAACATTGCCTCGCAGTCCCGCCCAGCGCGACTCCGAGGCAACAAGCGCGACGCGGCTTTACTGACGACAAAGTGAAGGCCATCGAAGAGGAGGTGGCGCGACTGTTGGCGGCAAGGTTGATCCGCCCGGTCAAATACCCGAAGTGGTTGGCAAACGTGGTCCTGGTAAAAAAATCTTCGGGGGCTTGGCGGATGTGCGTCGACTACACAACAATCAACAAGGTGTGCCCGAGAGACCCTTACCCATTGCCGCGCATTGACCAACTGATCGACGCCACCGCCGACCACGAGACACTGTCTTTCTTGGACATGTTCTCAGGATACCACCAAATCCCGATGTCGCGCGAGTACGAAAAAAAGACGGCGTTCATGACTCCCTTCGGAAACTTCTGTTTCGTCGGAATGCCGTTCGGACTGAAGAACGCGGGCGCGACATATCAAAGGATGATCGACTCGGTGTTCTCTCAACAGAGGGGGCGGAACATCGAGGCGTATGTGGATGACCTCATCGTCAAGACCAAGGCTGGCAACTTGCATCTGGAGGACCTGCGAGAGACGTTCGAGGCGCTCCGCAAACACAGCATCCGCTTGAACTCACTTAAGTGCGTCTTTGTAGCCGAAGCAGGGAAGTTTTTGGGGTTCATGATAACCAAGCGCGGCATCGAAGTTGACCCAAAACAAATCACAGCAGTCCAACAACTACGGGCACCAATGAGCGCATTGGAAATCCAATCCCTCAATGGGAAAATAGCAGCGCTTGGAAGATTCATCCCAAGGTCAGCCGACAAGTGCGCGCCGTTTTTCAAGACACTCAAAAGTGGCGCAATGTTTGCATGGACCAAAGAGTGTGAAGCAGTCTTCCAAGAGCTGAAGGCATATCTTGTATCCCCCCCGTGTTGACAGCTCCCAAGCTTAATGAAAAATTATTCCTTTATCTGGCCGTGTCGACGAGAGCTGTGAGCGCAGTCCTGATATCCAGAAGAAATGTTAATACCAAGCAACCTGTGTATTACACTTCACGCACGCTAGTCAGCGCGGAAACAAGGTACTCCCCAATAGAGAAAGCAGTCCTGGCATTAGTGAGCGCGTCGCAAAAGTTGCGTCCCTATTTCCAAGCGCACTAGATCACTGTCCTGACCAATCTCCCACTAAAGAAAATCCTAACTTCGATGGAAGTGTCAGGG